TGTACCAAATACCTTGTCAAAAAAAAATAGCAGTATAAAATCGACATAATCTGTAAGTTGGATACACACTGCGTAGGAAATGTTTCTTCATAACTGCTATCGTGTAACAAATATCTTACTTAAAAAATGGAAAATCTTTTTATTCGACTTTCATTATTCAATTATCCTTTTTTTTTTAAGTCATCAGTATTTTTTCGGTAAATAATGAGAAACTGAGTTTGAGCTGAGTCCAACATCAAATTCAAGTCTCTGAAACATTATCAAGCCATAAAGTCGATGTTCTAGCGCAAAAAGATTCTGTCTATCCCATTTCGTGCTCGATTTATTTAGAGTCTATTAATACTAGATATATACATTTGTTCATATTCACCGTGTAAATGAAAAAACTACAAAAAATACCGCGAAAGATACATGCATCGAGAGGTGTGTAGAAAAATCTTATCGCTTATTTATGCTGACTCTCACGGTCGTACGTTCGCGCTTACCGTTTCTACGGGACCATGCGTTCAATTGTGCTCTTCGCGTTCCTGGCGAACGCCAACCTGATGAGCAAACGCAGGTAAGAGAACACCGAGTTAGATCGCGATTTCGCATGGTGACCCGTTAATCGGACGATAAAGGAGTTTTTGTCGAAAACGAGGCACACTAAAACATAAAATAAAATTACTTTAACTATTTATTTAAAGTGCTTAAATTTAAAAGCAAAAATTAAGGCGCATGACTTGCAACTTTTTACAATCCACTATTTTGATTCCAAAGATACGATATATGTGTAACATGCGATTTATCGATAACCCCTTGTCCTTCCTAATGATATTGCATATGGAAATTTACAAGTTGTTTATCGACAATATTAACTCGTATACATAATCTTAGCTTTTATAACAGCTATTTCTGTTTTAAAGGCCACACTGGAAAACAATTAGAAGTACGTCTAATTGTTATAAGGCGCAGTTTTTACGGTTCCTCCTAAAATTATAATCAACAAATGGCTAGCGTAATTACAGAGATAAGGTCCTTCGTTCAATACATGTCATCGCAGGTCACTGTGATAACGATTTGAACAAATACAGCGGCATCGCTCGATAATTATGCAGAATTACGAACGTAATTGCATAATCTTATAGAAATACATTACGTAAATATATATCTCGTAGATAAATCAAGTCTGTTTTATGATTAAACCGTTAGCACAGTCGACCATGCTGGAAACATTTTAAAGTCTTCTTTGTCATCATTTTACTTCGTTTTCGTCTCTCTGTCTCTCTTTGTCTCGCTTTCTGGACGAGTGCATCGCAGCACTTCTCTTATTGTGGCTTGTGAATAAGTTTAATGAACGGATAGAACCATCTGGAAGCTTTTCTAGCAGTCAAGCATCGGTTAAATAACGCTTTTGTAGCAGCGAAGCACATTAATAATTAGTAAAAATCATTTTAAGATGCCAACAAGCCTTCTTTTTATACATTTGGAACAATCGAATTAAACTGTTTTAATTCCAACTTTATTTTTTTTTTACATGTGTTTAGTGCGAGAAACACATCACCTGTTAACAAAAAAATCACATAATAAAGATTAGATATTTCAATTAATTATTCAATAATTCATATAGCCAGAAACTTTTATACTCATCTCTTTATATTAGAAATCTCTTTTTATTAAGAAGATTGTTAGGATATGTTATGTTATTTGCTATTAAGAATAAAAATAAGATTAAGATATTTAGAGAATCAAGGAGGAATTTAGACAATCCTTATCGGCTAGAAACGATAATTCTGTTTAGCAGAAATCCTTTTAAAATTTATATCGTTATGCATTGCCGACTAGCAATAATACGTTTTTTAAGAGATTAGAAAATTTATCTTTTATCTATTTCCAAACGATATTCGTCACAGTAAACAGCCCCCACTTCCGTTCGTCTCTACGTATATAAGAAGCTATTATCGAAGCATCGTTGGCCATAAACCGGTCTTTCGGTCGCAACAGATTTCGGGATAATCGAAGTATATACAATTCGTAATAACAATGGCAACTGTGAAGTTCAAAGAGACGTCTCCATACCTCAAGCCGAAGAGTTCACCACCTGCGGAAGATTATATCTATAGCAAGTGAGTAATTCATTCTTGTATCATCGCGCGAGAGTATTACATAAGTTCGCACTGATACATCATGAATACTCAACTAAGATCCTTTCGACGAAAAAATCTCCGAAGAACGCGTTTACTTTCACGTTCCTAAAATTTTATTGCTACAATTTGATTTGTAACTTCAATTTAAAGCCGACACGACGAGCGAGGTGAATGTACACGTTTAATAAAATTCTGGTCCTGAAATGGAAATTATCTATTAATCGTAATGAACTAATTTTATTCGTTTATCCCGTCTGATTCGTGATCTTGGCAATTGATCTTGTAAATGACTTTTACATATGTGAGCGCCACAATTAACGCTGTTTTTTACTTTCGCCTTCGAGGGCGGAAATATATTCGAGCTATCTTTGAGTCTTGTACTAAGAGAAAAATCTTTCGTAGATATATAGAAGACCTCACCCTGAAGACAGACAACCGGGAAGAACCTATAGTTAAATTGGCTCTGTTCGGTGTGGGTCACGCCGGGACGATACACATATCGAATATAATTTCTAATACACGTGTCCAGCTTTTATACATTGTTGAGGATCTCGAAAGCAAGTGGGAAAATGTGCGAAAGTACTGGCGTTTGGACAACGTTACCTTCCTAAATAGCAAGCAATCTGACAAGATATTCAAGGACCCCAAGTAAGTGGCTGTATGAAAATGAAAAAGCGCTACCGATACGATAATCAAGCTAAAAGTTAAATAAATTTAAAAGTAGAGTTAAAGTTAAATTAAAAATTAAACATAATAAATTATGTGCTATAATATGGACTTATATCTATAATGTAAATTATGTATTATAAATTATATCAATATAGATTACATTTGCGTCTACAAGGCAAATTCATATCTATATAAGCAAACATATAATTCTCGCTTTTCATGATTCGTAAAGCGTTAACGCGGTCATCGTGGCGTCGCCGGCTTACACGCACAAGGATATCGTTATTAAAGCTCTGGAAGCGAAGAAGGCGGTCTTCTGCGAGAAGCCTATAGCGGAGAATATCTCGGACACCGCCAAAGTCTACGAAACAGCCAAGAAAGCCGGTAAACCGCTGTTTTGCGCGTTCCAGCGGCGATTCGATCCGAGCTACTCGAACGTGCGAGACCGTGTTCACAACGGAGAGGTCGGACACGTCCATACAATTAAATCGGTCTCTCGTGATTCTCCCCTGCTCCCTTTAGAGTACTTGAAAACTTGCAGTGGGATCTTCCACGACACCATGATCCACGATATCGATGTAGTTACCTGGGTTATCGGGGAATACCCAGACAAGGTGCGA